AAAATAGATCTCTAATATTTTAAGTAATTCTCGAATTCACTCGTAGTCTTACCATTAATATTGTCTAACTTTTATTAAAATTTCTCAATTAGGTAGTTTTATAAAAAATAAAAAAAATTGACATGTAATTAAATTAATTATTTTTATTTTTATCATATATTTTATCCGTAAATAAAAAACATAATAACTTTATTTATGTTTTTGAACAATTAATCAAACAGGAGGAGATGAAGCAAAAAAACTCACTTACACTATTTGTTCTCTCCTTATATATTTTTCTCTCTTCAACAAAATGTTTTTATATCTAACTTTTCTTAGTCTCATTTTTTTTCCTCTCTCAAATGTTCAATGTTGTGCACCAAAAGATTGGAGGATTTGGGTGCATTAAAGATCATATCTTCCTCTATTAAAGAAGTCATATCTTTTTATCTCTTTTATATTTGTTTAGTTTCGTTTCATTATCTGCSAACATAAGTCGCTCACTTTGTAAATTGACTTATTACTCTAAAATTTAGAACGGGATACTTCCAATCATACCAATCAAATTGATAGGTCAAAGAAAAAGAAAATAGGATTGATCTCGTACACATTGCTCGCCCATCAAATACTTCAATTCGTGCTTGATGAAAAAATACAGGAGTCTATTGTTAGGCTAGAAACAGTAATATTCTCCATAAACTTGTTCTTCTCCCATAAAACACTTAGAAAAAAAATGCTATGGAAGGCTTATAATTACGTTTATTAGACGCTATGATCACATTATGAAATGTTTACTATAGTGTTATTTCAAAGCTATACAATCGCTTTCATAGCAGTTTTGTCTAGCTGTAAAATGTTTACAATACTGTTTTTTCTCCAAAGCAATGAAAACTTGTAAGTACATTATTAAAATGATGTAATCAAAACAGGACTTCTTATATATAGTCGTTTGCATAGCACCGGAAAAAAATGCTACGAAAAGTTGAATATTTTCAATGATATCATCTACTACGTCATTGATGAAACACCATGAAAAGTCTACTGATAGCATTTTTTCAGATGCTATCATATACGTGGTATAATTGTTGTAGTGGGTACAATTTTAGAGAAGCAAATGCATATATCTACTACTAGAAAATTGGGTTTTCGTGACACTCATCAATAGTAAAATACTGTTAACATAAAAATATGTGTCACGAAAGGCAAAAAAATGCATTTTTGGAAGGAAAAAACGGAGATTTTCAAATATTTGACCTTTCGTGACTTTTTTAAGCATCCCAAAATGGTGGTCAAAAAGTTGGTTTTTCGTGACGTTTAAAAAACGTCATGAAAGGTTGAGGCGCGTTTTTGGCGGGAAATGACGGAGTGTTCCGAATTTTTGACTTTTTGTAACGTTTTTCTAACCGTCATGAAATGGTCGTCAAAAAGTTGGTTTTTAGTGACGTTTAAAAAATGTAACGAAAGGTTGAGGCGCGTTTTTGGTGGGAAATGACGGAGTGTTCTGAATTTTTTACCTTTCGTGACGTTTTTCTAACTGTCACGAAATGGTCGTAAAAAAGTTGGTTTTTCGTGACATTTAAAAAACTAGATAAAAAAAGTAATTAATTAACTTAAAGAACTTTGAAGCTAATTTGATGGAATATACTTTTTTTAGGGATTGTTAGAATTTAAGTTAACAAAACATAAAAACCGAAAATTTAGGTGGTAGAAATTCCCAAAATTTTGAATCCCATTAAAAATAAATATTATTTTTGTATTTCTATTTCATTTTAAATAAAAATATTTAGGAATTGGTCAATTTCCATTATTTTATATTATTTTTCACCCTAAATATAACGCCACGCGTTCTCGGGTTAGTTTTATTTTAAGATTTAATTTGTACTTTCGGATTTTCTCCTAAGCTGATAATTTAAATCCTTTGATTTTCTAAATTCAAGGTTCTATGTAAGTTGAAATTTAAATTAGAATTTAAGTTTAATTTTGTTGGACCAAGATAAATTAAGTTAGCGAATTTTACAAAGAGGATTTCAATCGAGTCTTAATTCAAAGTTTTTTAGATTTTTTTCTTCTGTTTTTAAAATTAAGTTATTCTCTTAAATCTTTTCCCAAACAATTTTGATTTTAATTGGATTTTTGATTTTAGGAGGAGTATTCCTCTTAATTTAATTTTTTAGAACATTAGCCTATTGGTGGTGGTGTATCTATGGATTGGTTTCTTTTGTCAAAGAAAAGAAAAGAAAAACCCTAAACTCTACTGCAAATCTGGGTTTTAACCCCAAAAATATTTGTCTCCCAAATTTTCTGCCTCCCACCTCTCTTTGCGGTGAAACCCTCCATTGTCGTTCTACTCGTTGCCATGGAAAGGGGGTGTGAACGGCCACGATATGGCTGCGCGAGTGACGATCTGGCAGTACGGAGCAAGGGTCCGACGGAGAAAGACCATTTGCGACAATGAGCGGGAGTGACGATTCAAGGCTACGAGCGACAAATCGGCGGTAGGGTTATTGGAAATAAAGCTACGATTCTTCCATTCTTGAACACCAAAGGTATTATTTCATGCTTTATTCTTAAGCAATGGTAGGTCAATTTCCATTCAATCCTCTCTGTTCCCTTTAATGGCTTACACTCCCTCTCTCTGTCTTTATTGGCTAAATACTCTAATCCATAGTTGACGGGCTTCCCTTTCAACTTCCCTCAACTCTATGGGATTAAAAACTAACTCAAGATTTAGGGGGAAATAATGGAGATGGGTCCCGAGAACCTTTTTCGCATCTGTTTAGATTTTTGTATAATTTTATAGCAGCTTTGATTATCGGAGATTTTCCTCCAAAAGTGACTGATTCATCACAAATTCACCGATAAGAATTAATGTTTGAGTTTGACATGTTCTTTAGATAAATTAGAATATGTTTGGATTCTGACGCAATTGCTCATTATTTTGGTCCATTTTATTGTTTTGTATATCGGCTTTTGAGAAGGTTCAGGTGTGATTGAATGTATTGATTCCAAAAGCTTCATAGACTCACCTAAATTTAAATTTTGAATCTGGGAGCTTGAAATTTTCAAATAAACCATTGCTTTATTCACATCAAGCCGCGTTTGAGTGTAATTCTTCATTATTCATCACAGCCTCCTCCTCCCCAGCTTGGCCTGGACGAGCTGTCCTGAAGCCATGACGTAAGAAATAAGAAGGCCAGAAGCCTATCTCCATTGTAGGATCCATTGGTTCCATTGGAACTCAGATATGTGGTTGCCATCTACTTGTGTAAGACAAAACTATTTTCCAACCTGTGTGTTATTGTTGCTCGTGCCTGCATAATTGAGTGTGCACTCTCTTATTAAGTTATTTTGTCTTAAATCTCATCTTCTCATTGGGGTGATTTCTGTACAAATAATATTCTGTACAATTGTGGATTGTTCTTTGGTTGGAATTTTGTAGTTTAAAATTATTCTGATGTTGAGGTTTTATTTAACATTGTGTTTGAGATTTTATCAGAGTTGTTTTTCTAACCCAACTCTTAGTCAAAATCTCTTATCTTACTAAAACTTCATTTATTTGATTCAGTAAATAATCCATCCTATAGCTGAA